GTATTTATATTCGAGCGGTAAAAAAAGCTCGCTTTGGTGTCACTCGAGAAGAACAACAAGATCTGTTCACGGTTTCGGCCGATTACTCCTTAGCTCACTGTGTTGCAGAAGACCTAAGGATGTCCAGGGGAATAGCGGTTGTTTTTAAAAACAAGTTTGGACGGATCGACGAGCTACGAAGGCAGAATCCCAAAGTTGGAGAGGTGCTTGAAATTGTGAATAATGAGCAGACAGGCAATAGAAGTATCTTCTATCTGGTAACGAAGCAACTCTCCCATCAGAAGCCAAACTACCGTGACATATGGAATGCCTTAAATAAATTGAGGGATGCCCTTTTATCCAAGGACATCATGAACCTGGCGATACCAAAGATTGGTTGTGGACTTGACGGTTTGGACTGGAGAATAATTAGAAGTATGGTGGAAGTTATCTTTAGATTTAGTGGCATACACATTCTTGTCTGTTGCTACAACCCTAAAAGAACAACCGGAAGGAAGACCGTGGACTGCTACTTCTATAGGACGTCACATTGCAAGTTTGGATCTCTATGCAACTATCGCCATGAAGCTGAGGACCATTTTCGGGACGAAAATGTTTTAAGACGGGGGCAATGTAGCGAGTGCGGCTCTGGATGTCGGAATGGTGACTCATCGGCGATGAGTCATCGCTGGTGAGTCAGCGCTCGAATAATCGAGAGTGTGGAGCTCGCTGGAATGTTCCAGAAGAAGTAGGCGCTGAATATATAAGGAACGACGTATCTGGGAGAGTCAGTTATGATTTGGTACTCGCGGCGAAATAAATAAATATAAGTGCAAATAAATAGACTCTTGAACAATAGTGATATATAAATAATTAGTAGTTAAGTGTTTAGTTAGTTTTATAGTGTTTTAAGTGTAGTTAAGTTATTAAATAAATAGTTTAGTTCGTTAATTAACCAGTGCGTGTTTTAATTCACACTACGAACAGTTAAAAACGTTACAATATCAACAGGCTAAAATGATGGCAAGTGAAAATGATAAGCAAAAATAACTACTGACTAAAATAGGGACAAAATAATAGTTATTTTTGTACTAAGCTCAATTGAGCAAATCACAAAAATACACTTCACAGCAACATTTTATCTTCAAGTCACAATTTAATTTGTTAAACGATAAATTAAACGTATAATTATGATAATTCTTAGAAGTTGAAATTGAGGTTGGATAGATATGAAAGTACTGAATTTTGTTTTGTTCTACAGGCTAGAACCACAGTATCTTCCATATACTGTGCTAAAACTTTAAAAAACTAAATTATTTTAACAGCCTAGGTGATAATTAATTTATTAGCAGTGAGTGATGTCAATAATAAAGTTTAAATTATAGAACCCTTAAGGATAAAATAAATACAAAATAAACAAGCCAAAATAACAAAAATTTAAAAACTACAAATTGAGTTGTGAAAAAGCTTTCGACCCACAAATTAACAAAATATATTTTAGGGATATAACCGATTTTTGTATAGTTTTTTGGTAGGTATAATTTTTTTTATTCAATATTATGATTATAAAAGGTTTAGGTGTTTATTTTGATAGTAAACTAACATTCTCCCATCACATTAATTTTATTGTTAATAAATCATTAAAGATGTTGGGATTTGTCAAACGAAGTCTTAAAGATTTTAATAATGTTCAATGCTTAAAAAATGTTTATATGTCCTTCGTGCGCAGTATCTTAGAGTATTGTTGTATTGTTTGGTCACCTTTTTATGTTAACCATAATATTAAACTAGAAAGAGTACAAAATAATTTTTTGCGATATTGCGCATACAAACTAAACATTGAATGTACTTATTCTTTAGATTTAGTTATAAGTGTTGCCAATTTATATAAACTAAGTAAGAGAAGAACTGAATTTGGAATTGTATTTTTATATAAACTATTGAATAATTTTATTAATTGCCCAGAAATACAAGGCAACATCATTTATTTTATATAAAGACCCATAGGACCACTTATAGTAAATTTATGCCTTTAAGTAGAATCTGTTCTGAAGCAAACGATTTAAATTTAGATTTTTTAGATTGTTCCCTAACTGTCTTAAAAAGAAATTTAAAAGTATTATTATTGTAAAAAATTGTAATTTGTAACTGGTTGATCCGTCAATAAAGTTATTATTATTATAATATTTATTGAGATTACGAGCACAAAATATTTTTCATGTTTTGTGACATAGAGCTACACAGGTAACATATACAGTGTGTTTCATTTTGATTGGCGACTATTTGGTATTTATTTAAGATTTTTAGTTTGTAGTACAAGAAAAAAACATTGTCATATGTCATTTCGATGGCCCTCTATGATTAATAGAGGTCTCCAAAAAAGTTAGGCATAGCGTTTCTGAATTTTATAAAGCCAAAAACCCCTAAAACGATAATTTTGTAATAAAATTTTATACAGGATGGTCAAGATGTAAGTTCAAATTTAGAAAAAAAAATATTTTTTAAGCACTCTGTAGATATAAATTCTCGCAAAGATTTTGCATTTCTTTAGGTATTGGACGAACTACATATTCGCCCAGTTTTGTTACTTGGCTTATAATCTTTTTGCAAAACCTTTGCTAGAATTTATACAGTGCTTAAAAAAGCTAAAATCGGATAATTTTTTAATTAAAAGAAACACTGTATAACTAAATTTTAACGTTTATATAGGTGCAGTGCTAGGGGGTAAGATATAAAAGATAAAATCTAATACCATACGTAACAGAGTGAATCGTGTTATTGTAGTCGATTATTTTTAAAAACGAACACACAGCAAAACATCAACAACTTTTTAATTAAACTTTACTGTCACGTTCCCAACATTCTCCACTCACTCAGAAAGCTAAAGTTTATCTACCGACAACAAGAAAAAACAAAAATTAATTTAAAACCTTATTGTTGAGTTAATAAAATTTTAAAAATATTTTAACAAAAGTATGTTTTCCTTCATAAAGGTTTTAAAAATATATTCTCGTATAAAAAAGTAAGGTAAGAACATTGAAACTCGAGGCTTTCAACTTTGAATCGCGAGCTATCGATTTAACTCCCGATATGTTCGCAATCATTTATATTGGAAATTTTAGATGTTGATTGGCTTCATTATAATTTTATCGATTAGATTTGTGCAATTTCCTTTTATTATTCTGTTCTACATAAAATATAGAGTTCAGTTGGGTAATATGACTTCTAGGAGATGTAAAGCGTAAGACCTAATTTTTATGTCAAAAAATCTTTGACAAAGGTAAGAAAATCACTTAGTTAATTTATCCACCAGATATCACATAAGTTCTTTTCAGAAGTTTGTTACTCCATCAGAAACATTTTGCATTGGTCAAAATTAAATTAAAATAGCATATTTAATTTAAAAATTTCGCATAACGAAAGTAAGACATTTTTTGTCCAAGTCTGCATTTTTTTCAGTATTGATGTAATCTGTTGGTATAGCCCTTATTTATATAGGGTGCAAGAATGTGTTATCTTCAAGTTAATGCATGATAAAAAGGGGTTTGGTCTTTCTGTTTATCTAAAACGATTATTTATTTATAATGGCGAAAATTACCATAATTTTAACCATGATAAAAATCTTCATATTGTGTGCAGTATTATATTATACAAACCCCTTGCAGGAAAAAGGCATGACCTATACATAATATATCAATATACTAAAAATAAAAATTGTGTTATTTTAAAATTTTGTTGGAACAGCAAAAAAATAATATTATATTGTCATATTTCGCACATTTGTTGTTGACATAACTAATAATCTGAACAGATAAATATCAAAAGTTCTTAATTGCGGAGGTCTGTATAATTTTTAAACAGATCACAGAGTTATATTATGTGATCCACATCCTCCTTAAAATTATTCCGTAGTTAGGCCTTTAATTTTATGGCGTGTTTATACAACTTCATATCATTAATTTATTTCATAATTTACAATTTAGTGCATAATCATAAAAGTTAAATCGCACTATCTGCTATGAAACAGTTTATACAACGATTTAATCCGTAACTCACAATTTAGTGTACATCGAATCAGTGGCGGCGATAAGAATTCGGGGGCCCCCCCGCCAAAATTTTCTCGGACATGTGGTAATAAAATCTGGAAATACTGGAATTTTATCTAAGATGCTAAATTGTAAGAAAAAATCTCGGATATATCTATAGATTTTGTTTTAAGTTTTTCTACCCACCTGGAAAATATTCTGTATTATGGCGGAGTTCAAGAAAAACTGGGCTTGTCTCACATTTTATTTTATAAATGGGATATCATTTCATAATAAATTTATATTACAAAATATTTTCCAAAGAAAAATGATAATAAAAAATTTGTGTCTGAGTCTATACGCTGATTGTTAAGAAATATATTTCTTAACAATTAGCAATATTTTGCCATGAATAATAGAAATACTATAATTTGCTAATTGCCTTAAGTATAAAATCTTACCATCGCTAAAATCTGTCTGGTGCTAGTGAAGCTATTAGTGGATAGATCGAGGAATAGAAAGTTTAAGGGAGCACTGTTAAATTGCCAAAACGGCGATGTTTTTGTTTTAAAAATATATCTACCAACTGTCCCAAATCAAGTTTACGCGCACGTTCATGTTCAATACTTATTACACCCAAACACTAAGTCGCTCCTTGCACATTGTACTACGTAAATATGTTTTTATCAACTTCTTTCGGCAGAAGCAGATGTTACCGGTAATGTCAAAAAAAGTTGAAACAACGAACAAACATCCGGAAGACTGCTCAAAATGCATCTGTTTTCTGATATAAAATATGTGGCTAATTCATATATTGTTTTCTTTTTTTGAATTTCATTTGAAAATAAACTTTGAAAGTTTATTAATTGCGTAGATAAATTATTCGAGAAGTCATTTTCGTATTTTTCCAATATTTTTTCGACATGATCTATAATTTCTCTGGTAGATAATTTAACGAAACCATCTGGATTTAAAAATAAAAAAATAGCTCATTACTTTGTTCATACTGATAAATCGTGTTCTGAGTTGATTAATTATTATATCAAGAGATTCGTAGAAGACTTTAATTTGAAATCTTCTTAGAGAATCTTCTATTCCAGTGTCAGTTGCAAGTTCATCAAAGAATGTCTTGTCCATTCTTTGGCGCTTAGATTTCAATTTTGGCTGAATGTTCCACGATGTCGCCAAATTCGTTGCTTCCGCATGCAATATTTCGAAATCGTCTCTAATAGTATTAAAATTATCTATTGTGGAGCTCAATAATTCGCATGCTCGTCCCAGATCAACGGTAGAACTTTGTAGCAGCTTGGACACTAAACTAATATTTTCCAAAATTTTGCTTTGGTATACAAGAAGCAAAATAAAATCATAACTACTCATACTTTTTTGCAAGGAGTTTGCTTCTATTCTGTCGGATGTTTTTTTGCAAATTAAAATAAAAGTTGATAAACATTGCATCACGCATTTATAGTTATATTTTATAGCACTCAGACAATCTAAACAAGACGACCATCTTGTAGGGCATAATCTTTTTAATGTTTTTTTAATCATTGCGTTTTCTTCTTTGGATTTGTTGAGTTCTTGCCAGCGAGGTAAACTTTTACTAAAAATCAAATACATATTCTCTAATAATCCGTAGAAATTTCTAATTTCGCTAACATTTTGCACTGAACCATTCAACACCAGGTTTAAATTGTGTGCGGAGCAGTGAATAAAATCAGCAGTTGGTACTTTTTCTTTAATTCTTGCCTGAAGTCCAGAATATTTCCCGCTCATCTTAGAAGCCCCGTCATATCCTTGACCTCGGCATTTTCCTATATCAATTTTCAGTTCTTTTAATGTACTTAAAATAACGCATTCAAAATTTTTGCCTATTTCTATAAACCTAAGGAATGATTCTTTTATTTCGATTTTGCCTGCAATAGATTTATCATGATCTAGGTCAACTTTAACGTGACTAATAATTATACTTAATTGATCCTTCTTTGAGATATCTTGGGTTGTATCGACGATTAGGGAGAAAAAGGGGGCTTTAGAAATTTCACTAACTATTTCTTTTACCACCGATTTTGACATTAATGTTATGATTTCATTTTGCGTATCATGGTGTAAGTATTTATTTCGATTATTTTTATTTGTTATATGCGACTTTAACAAAGGATCATATCGCGACAGCAAATCGATAATATTCAAAAAGTTACCAGATTGAGGCCCTATTTCATAAATATTCTCGTGATGTCCCCGAAAAGGTAAACTACAAATTGCTAAGGTTCGCGTAGTATCAAAAATTCTAATCAAAACTTCTTTAATGGTTTCTTGTGATCCTTGAATTAATTTGTCTACAGTTTTGTTTTTTTCCCAAGACGTGTATGTAATACATGCGTGAAAATGAGTGGCGCTCTCTTCATGTTTTTTAATTTTTTTACTCAGACCTTTCCAATCAGTGGCGGATTGGGGATTTTGGGTATACCAATATCTCAGTTATTAGACATGGGACCCACACCAAATTTATAATAGTTTATTATGACATTAAATAGACAAGTTCGGCGCAAACAGAATTTAAATTGAAGTTTGCGAAAAAAAGTTAGTTTTTTGTGTCGCCTCACCTGGCTTCTGGCCCCCCCCATTTGAGATAATTCAAATTAAAGTTGTGCAATTTATAATTCACTATAATTTATCGGTAAATTTAAAATTTTATTTGAAAAATCCAAATACAACAGATTAAAATAAATAATAAAAATTTAAAATCGTATAAAATCTGTAATATTTATATTTTTCTTATAAAATTTTAAATTTGTCGATAAATTATAGTGGAGTATAAATTGCACAACTTTAATTTGAATTATCTCAAATGGGGGGGGCCAGAAGCCAGGTGAGGCGATACAAAAAACTAACTTTTTTTCGCAAACTTCAATTTAAATTCTGTTTGCGCCGAACTTGTCTATTTAATGTCATAATAAACTATTATAAATTTGGTGTGGGTCCCATGTCTAATAACTGAGATATTGGTATACCCAAAATCCCCAATCCGCCACTGTTTCCAATCACTAATAGTGCCATCACACCATGCATGTGATTGCTCCCTATCAGAAAATAGCCAACAAGGCTGGCAGTATACTGCATTTAAAATCTCAGAATAGCATAACCAAAATCTATCAATTTTCTGTCCAGTTTTAGTGGTTGTGTAGTAATATTCAACACTAAATGACTTGTTTGTATGTATATTCCTAACTGAAGGTCCCATAGGTCTATTTGGGCCTGAAATTATAATTTTGCGCTTCATTTCATCAGTCAACACATCTTGAAACAGCGCCCTATCTGTATTAAATGGATTTAACTCATTACATTCGACGATGGTCGTTTCTTGAGCATTTAAATTTAATTTAGTTACTTCAACATTTGCGACATCAGAGTTGAATTTTGAAGTTGAAGCCTGATCCGGATTACTGCCTCCCTCGCTGTCTCCAGTAATAACTTTTCGTGAAATATTCTCTTCTCTAATATCATCTTTTTTATCTTCATTTTCCTGATTTATCCTTGTTTCACCTATGGCTTTAAAAAAATCATCGATCTTGGGCAATTTACCAATTGCTTCCAGTTTTTCGGTCTTTTGTTTTCGTTTTTAAGCACCACTGAGGTATTGTCTAGCTTTATCAGTCATTATTTCTTTTACTAAAATAAGATAAACCTCACGGCAAAAAAACAAAGATCACACGAAGACACACAAAAAGTTATGTGCGTACCGCGTACGTAAGTAATTAAAAAAAGAAAAACGCGATAACCCGGAACTCACGACAGTATATTGCAACTAAACTGATTTTTATTTTATAGGCGCGTTTTTCCTTTGCATTACCGAATTTATTTTCAAATAAGCCGTCAAAAGAAACCGGCAGGGTTCTTTGTACTTTATCGGGTCGGCGAATAAAAAACAAACACATTTTTTTGCTGACGGTGTCCGAGCGTGAACTTTTGGTAAAATATATCTATGATTGATTCATATAGTTTTATTTTGGAATAAGATTATTTTTAATTTCAGGCACCTCTTTTCTTTTCTTGTTATCAATTTTTTATTTTTTTTTATTATTTATTTAAAGCAATTAGGAATTTTAGCAAGGAGGTCAAAGGGGCCCTTCTGGAGCTGGGGCCCCCCCGCATGGCGGGCCCTGCGGGCCCCTTATCGCCGCCACTGCATCGAATAACCTTTAAAGTTCATAAAATTTAACTTTTATGAAATAAATTATGAATTATAAATAAGATTGAACAGCGCAAGTGCCAACAATTTCTCTCTCTCCATTTTTTAAGGTTATAATTAATAATTATTGTGTTTTGTGTTTGTGCCTTAAAAAATACTACAAAACATGAGTTTTAAGGAGGAATTTTGTGTTATTTGTCATTTTTAATTATCAATATTGTCATTTGAAAAAATAAAATATATATTAAATTAATGAATTGTATAAACCAGATTTTAAAGTTAGGTATTATGTATTAAATTATGCATTAAATTAACAATTGAGTTATGAAATAAATTGTCCACTAAATTATCAATTGTTGTATAAACCCGCCTTTAGTGTTTAGTGTTCAGTATCTATAAGACTTAGTATTCATCGATAAATGGAAATGTTATGTATTTTTTCTACTCCCACCTTTAAAACGTCCATTATCATACATGTTTCCATAACACTAAGTGACCTTTTAAATACATTGACAAGTTGTGGCTTTATGGCGTTTTAGCCACGGGCTGAACTTAGCAACAGGTTTTTAGTCAGTTTCCCTATTGTTTTATAGATGGTGCATTATTAAAATACTTAATTTAAATGATTTTTAGATAATAATAAGTATTTGTCGTAGAAAAAGAATATTCGTGTCTAAAATGGCGTTTATCAAACTTGATACATAATATACTATTTTAGTTTTAAGATCATTATAAAAATTGTGAGCTACGAAAGCAGTCATTTCCTGAATATTTGTTTCACCTAATATATAATATTTAAGTAAAGTTTAAGAATAACTTAATTGGCGCAGTCGGTAAGGATAGTGCAAATTCCGCTAAAGAAATTTGCTTTTCAGCCCCAGACAAGACAGCTGCTGCGTGTACGAACTCACCAATGGGTGCAGATAATAAATATCTGCAGATAATAAAGCAAAGGTAATGTGTGCATGATTAACTGTTTTTAACTAATTTGGAATATACGTATTAGCAACATATGGTCAAGTAGATTATATTATATTATTGTATGATTACTCTTCAAGAAGATTTTGCTAAAAAATTATTAATAATGCACCGTGCTTACAATTCGAAGTTCCAAAGAAATGGCAACAACTTTGCGACCGTTTAATGGTCACCATTTAAATTTAGAAACATTTTTATTAGATGTACATTCGTATTATAATACATGCGGCAGAAGTCACGATCAAAATTTAACATTTACAAATCTTTACTTGCTTCAACAACAATTTTCGTATTTGACTAAAGAAACCAACGGGGACATTCTTTCTTTTATTGAGAGTTTAAAATCTCTATAAATACGGTTTAATTTAAAAATTCAATTCGATCAAGCATTAGATCAAAATGTTCGAGATGCCATTATGGCTCAAAACGAATCCATTGCTGTAAATTCTTGTCGAATTGATAATTATTTAAATTAAACTAAATTATTGTAGTATAAATATTATATATATATATATATATATATATATATATATATATATATATAAATTAAGAGTACTTGATATCGACTTTCTTCAATATGGGATTTATTAAATTATTCTGGCAGATTTACATTTATGTCCCCTAATTAGTTTAGTAGATTTTACCAGTCATATTTAATTATTGTGCGATAGCGACATTTAATTTAAAACCATATTTTTTGCCCATGGCACCCTTCTGTCCGTCAACATATTAGGCAAAAAAGACAGAAATTACAGGTACAGAATGGACGCGTTTTCAATTATTATGATTTTTAGAATAGTTAGGTCTTCTTTGTTGTTTATAGCATTTATTTTACTAGTTTTTATTTCATTTAATAAACAACAAAAGTTTTAATAGTTACATCATAATATATTAAATATCAAGTTTGATAAACGCCATTTTAGACAAGCATTTAATTTAGGCACGAGCGAGCTTGCGAGCGAGTGCTTAAATTAATGAGTGTTATTCGCAACTGAATATAAAATTAATATACATTTTGTCATTTTTGGCTAAAGTAGGTACCTCATTATTTTAAATAGTAGACAACTAACTACCGATTTGATAGTTGAAGATCACACGGGAAAAAAAATCTAAGTCACTTTTGGCAAGTTTTCGGATAAATCAATTTTAAAGTTTGAAAGTCTAAGTACTCTTATTAGGTATTAAAAAAACGTACAAAAATTAAGTTTGCAAATAAAATAGGAAAAACGAAGACAAGTTCTAAACCAAATTTTGTTTAGGCTTTCTGTTAGAAAATAAAGATAACAATTTTAACCTCGCTCGTTTGTTGTGGTTGGATTAATGTATTCAAATTTCAAAATTACAGGTGCTTATGAACATGTAAACAAGAGCTCCCTATTTTCTGAATTTTTTCATATTGCTTTTTTATTGTTAATGCAAAAAAAAATAATTTTAACAGATTAATGTTCTAGACACTCTTGTCTTGTGGGCCCAACTGTTACAGTAGCTATTCTATAGAATAGCTATACTGATAAAAAAATGCAGGTAGTAAACTTCGTCAATCACTCTTATTGTTATCTATGTTCAACTTCAAGGGGTAATTTTGATGTTCTTTATTAACGAGTTTTTTTAGTTCCTGTAGCTGTAGGTACTTTATATTTGGCACCGAAATGTCTTGTTTGTATGCCAATTTTGGCAATCCCTCCCAAGTTGTGTTTTGCATCTGGCGTTTTTTTAACCTTCCACAAATTATATGGACTTTGATCGATTATCCATAAATTTGGAGGACTCTTTCATTTCACGTTTGTTTTTAAACGCGTATATAATGGACTAGGATTGATCAGTGCTTTACTTTGTTGAAATAATATACATATACTCAGATAATATTTGGCGTAATAATCTTGATTTTTATTTTTTAGACTTTTTTAAAAATACTATTACTAAGTTTTAGCATAAACTTCAATATTAAATTACAAAAAAGTAACTGGGGAAATGGATAAAAGGGGACATTTTAAGTTATGACAATTAATATGAAGTTTTGAAGATTATAATCTAATTTAACTTTTGCAATGAGTTAAATCAATATATTTTTAATTCCCATATCCAAAAATTAACTAAGAAATTATATTATGCAGTGCTAAAGCCATTTTTTTTTAAATTTAAAGTAATGCCCATTTGAGAATATGAACTAAATATCAACAAATTAGTTTAATTAATTCATGGTATCTACTTATAACGTTAAATATGTTTGTTGGTAACATTTTAAGATTTTGCAAAAATTAATGATTAATAAGTTTTGCGAAATTTAATTAAAATAACTTAATCAAGATTTTTTTAAATATTATAGTTATCATAGCGCAAAATAGAAAAAGCATTTAGTAAATTGGCAGCCAATTTCTGCAGAAGACATCTTTTTAACCGCAAATAGTAGCCTTTAAGCGAGTGTTAATTAGAATTAAAAACTTGTTCAACAATAATTATTAAATTAATTATAAGTTGGCCAACTTGTTAGCAGCATACACTCAGAATACTTAAAAGTTTACATCGCACACTTTGTATCGGTTTTAAGGAACTAAGTTGCCTTAGTCAATGCGACGTTTCTCCGTATTATGTCGAAGTTTGTACAAACTGTTGTGTAGGTGAAACGATTGAATCCGGCAAATATTTTAGTTTGTTTTGCATTTACTGTTGTCTGGCAAAAGTTTGTTTTTAAGTAGGTAAACATTTTTTTTGTTTTTACCGACAAACTTACTTGTCTATTAACAGTCCATGTAGTATATGCTCTAAGGTTTATTTATACCCTTTTATTAATTAGTACAATATAATAGTATATTATTATGCGAGAGATAATGCGCATAATCTACTATAATTCATCTACTACAATCAGTAAATGATTTATAAAAATATTTAAATAAAATCAAATGGTTAACCTCCCTTTTTACCAATTTTAAATGTTATTATAGTCGCCTTCTTCTAATTCAAAACCCGATTGGTTCAAATCACAGTGAATATTGAAATCGACCAATCACTAATGCCTAACAACGTGAATAATAAGTTCATTATTCCCGTTGTTAGGCAGGGAAATAATATTTATCATGAGAAAACAATATTGTGCAATAGTAATAGATAAAGTTATATTACACAATTTATAATTGTTTAACTTAAATTTCAAACAATATAAAATAAACCATTGTATCAATCAATATGGATGATAAATAAATGGAAATATGAAACCAAACCTAATAGTTGAAATAATAAAATACACAACAACTTCCGAATATGTTCCGTATTTATGGTTATATTGGAAAGCATAACACGTGATGAATGTTGAAATCCATAAAATTTAAAATTCATATGTGTTTATATTGGTTTAATAATTATTCACAATGTTGCGAAT